ACATAGCCTATTCCCATACAAATAACTGGATACATGATATTGCCTATATTGGAAACAATTATTATGGAATGATCAAGTAGATTGGGGGTCCCCAACCCCTGGTCCATGGATGGGCACCCATCCGTGGCATTTCAGCAACCACAAACAAGCAAAGCCCCACTCCCAGGATGCAGATAGCACACAAAACCTTGCTCCCTCTGGTCCGCAGAAAACCTTTTTTCCACAGAACTGGTCCCTGGTGCCAGGTTGGGGGCCACTGAAGTAGATGACAAACCCTTATTGGATTTATTTATACCTTTTTCAATCAAGTGGTTCCAATGCCTGGGCTAAGGTGCCAAATTTTAGACTAACCAATCTATTCCTTCAAATGTATTGGTTAAGCCAGATATGATATCCGTTTGCAAATTGTAATGTTAAAAAAGCTACATACTGTGATTAAATGTCTTGGTTAGTAAACTGTTCCCTCAAATGTATTGGTTAAGCCAGAAGCTTCTTCGGCTCTGACAGGATAGTTGAGAATAGAAGGATTTATATTCCTTGCAGGATGTATGCAAATGTCTAGCTGTCTGCAAGAAATATAAATCCTCCCATTCCCCACTATCCTGTCAGAACTGAAGAAGCTTCTTGGATTAGAAGTGAAATATCTTCAAAGAAAAAACAAAATCCAGTTGCCTCTTGAAAATGCACCTTTGGGACCAGCCTATGTGATTAACAAGAACATCCATATTTTTTAAAATCTCTATTCCATGAAGTATTTTTTTTTACAGGTTATTCCTCCTAATTAAGAATCTCAAAGGCTGCCTGAAATCAAGAAATAACAAGGACCTCAATATAGATTTTATATTAATCAGAATTGGGTTCCCTTTGAATGATATATTTAATTAAATAGGTACTTGAAATTAGCAAAGCCATTGATAATCTTAATTATGTTGTCTCATGTAATAGAGGAAAATAGAAATTGAGCATTCATGTTACTGTAGGTAACTCCTCCTTCTCTGAGATAAAAGTAATTATATACCGTAACTATCTTGGGGAAGGACTAAAGAAATAGTACTCATGCAAACATTGTTTGCTCTGTCATCCATGACTATAGAGCAATAATTTGTAGTATAGTGAAAACCAGATATAAAAGCAAATTATGATTTGCTACAAATCAAATTGAATGAAGTAGAAAATACAAACAAAGAAATATGCAAATCTTTGCCAGATGATTATCAACATTTGAGACTTCTTTCACCAATACTACATATACAGTTCTTTTACATAACATCAACATACACTTTTTATAACAGTAATAATTACTGGCACAGTAATTGTAAAATATATATCTGACAAATTGGTCATATAGTATATTTATAAAAGGAAAATAAACGAATTAAAATAAATATTATTTTCTGTAATCCAAAATCTTCTCGTTAAGAAGGAATTAACATATGTAAAAGTTACCTTCCAAAGTTAGCTGGAAGAAATTCCAGAAAGGCATCATTTAGATATAGCTGGGTCAAATTTAAAAGCTGTGTGAAACCATCTGGGAGCCTAAACAATGAGTAAAAAAATTAGCATTAATGCTGGAGGAATTGTTAAAATATAAGTCCCAACAAATCCATATTCTCAACCATATGCTCACTGCGTGGCCCATTTGTTAGAGGTAACATTTTGCCTGTTATAAAACAAATAACACTGCAGTATTGGATAATATAAACTTATACCATTTCTTATGTTTGTCTATTTTTATGCTTCCCAGTCTTTTGGCTAAGGTCACGTGTATGTAGGCATTTCAGTGGTGAATTACATTTCAAAATAACTAGATAATCTACTTTGTACAGCAACTGGATAGCATTATGTACATGCAAGTGTATGATGACTGAGATGACTGCTATGGAAAACATGTTGCTGTTTTTCATTCTAAAATAACAATAAGATATTATTATTCATAAGACTACATGCTGTACCTTATTTGCATTGCCAAAATTGAAGTGTTCAATCAAAAATTATAGGGAAAATAAAACTGCATGGAAGAATTAATAAATCAGTATTGTAGAGTTTAAATTAAATAGAGGGCAAAGGGCAAGACCACTAATTTGTGCATAAAAAGGGGGGGGGGAGGTTTGATATATTTCATCTGAAATATTGATAGTATCGGTTAATTTACAAAAAACATTTTAAGGCATCTTAAATTCAGTCCATGAGTATTTTAATGCATAATTTATTAACAAAACCATAAATAAACCAAATAAGATGAACACAAAACAACATAAATAATTCCCAAACAAGATAGTAAGTACTATAAACTACAGCTCTTTAGCTAGATCTATCACTGTTCTCATTTCCCAGTTTTATATCATATCATTGGTGAATTACATCTTTTCAGATTGTCTTGCAATCTGTATTTCTTGTAATTATTTTTCAACAAATATGCCAATTTATTATTCTTAGAATAAACTTTGTTTACAGTCTGTCCAGAAAACGTATATGCTATGATTTGTCTATTCAATTTTTATAGAAAGTTTGGTAATCCAAAATTCTAATTTGAACAAAGCTCAATTGTATTCTACAGGTTTACTTTTCATTAGAGTTATAAAACTACAGCATTGCCAATGTATTTGTTCCCTCAGTGTCACAATCTTTGTAAGTAATCCTTACTGTTACATATAGCCCAATTAGGTAATAGCACCTATCAAATGGATTTTGAAAAGCCAAGGAGCATTGACTCTGGATAGGGGACTAATAGTTTATATTAGGGTTATAGGTTGGATTGGAAAGCTGAAAAAAATCTCAAAGAAATAAACTACTTGCATACTGTTCTCAAGAAAATTAGACATGAAGTACCCACATGGATTTAGACATGAAGTACCCACAAATCAAGCTCAATTTTCTATCAACTGGGAAACAAATTCTGCATNGAATTGTGTTAATGAATTTTGTTTAAAAAATATATTTACATCAAAATGAGCTTCAGTTTATACATTTATTTGCTTTTTTCTAAATACTTGATTATCATTTACAATTTTAACTATTTGTCTAATTGCTATAGTTTAAAATAAATTCCCCAATGATTAATTTTCCAAAAGATTTAAGTCACAACTTGAAATGAGAATTGCTCAGCAAAAAAAACCATACTGTACAATATTTAGGGAAGAACAAATTACGTTTTTGGAAGATTTCTGTATGCTACAATACGCAGACACTTACTTTGGCAGCGTTTTCAAGTGATTCTCTCGTAATTCCAATATTCGTAATTTAACAAGTCTGGAAATAATAAAGATTAAAAGAAATTAAATTAGGAATTCATTAATTGCTAGGGAGTTTTTTATTCCACTGCCAATAATGCAAGCCACACATGTACATTAAATTATTCCTATGCACCTGCAAAATCTCATATGACAAGCATAACTTTAACTGTTTTAAATTCATTTCTGATTACATCTACAAGGGAAATATGCTAAATTCCAATATTCAGTAGATATTTCTAGTTCTAAAATGTTAACTTAGATGACATTAATCATCTATGATTGCTGGCAATGTTCTTCTTGATGATCCCCATGAGAGCAATTAAAGGGGAGAAAAGTACAAAAAGGCTTCAATAAATGTAAGTTACCATCAATTAATACTTTTGAAATTTACTCAAGCCAGAGTAAATGCAAAATATCATGAGCACGATTCAGCATGTATACATTTATTTTGATTTTTCTATAGCACTAACAAAAATGAATTAATTGTGTCTTTGTAAATTAATTGGTAAAGAGGAAACTTAGGAAGAAACAACATCCTATGGGAGAAAAAGGAAAGTTCTTTTGAAAATGTCAAATCTTTGACAGTGATAGTAAGTTATTAATCCTGTAAACTTTAGTGTCTTTAGAGAGAATAAAACATGTAACATTTTCAAACGCTTCTCATGATGATTGATTAAGAGCTATAGCGATATCAGGTATTTAAAATGCTTAAAATAAAATGCAATATGGCAATCTGCATAGTAAACAAACTATTGGAAAACCTATAAAAGCTTTAGGTATTAACTACTATTTTTAACATACATATATTTTAAACAAACATTTGCTAGATATCTTTTTTCCTCCTATAATTAAGAAGTTTTTATTTTATCTAAAAATATCTTAGAATCATATTTACAGGAAATGATTTTTGTGGGAATATATATTTAATGCAACATGCTATGTATTCTATTTTGATGTCAAGACTAGAAGATATGTTAAAATAATAAAATTACAAGATTCAAAATTGTAACATCAATGTATGTAAAAACTATATAGATGCTTTTATGTTAAAGCACATAACCAACTGACAACAATGAAAGAAAGTAAAATTATAAAATATAAAAAAGGGAAATGATATGCACCACATTTTGTTATTTTGTCACAAGTCAAGATTTATTCATGCATTAAAAAAAGGGTGAGCAAATTACACTTTGACCTTCCCATTTTTTTCTAAAAAAGGCAAAGTGAATTTGGAGCATCTCAACTGTAGTTAAAATCAGTGACCTACGGGAGATATGTTGCAACTCATAAATTATTTCTATGTGTAATTCTTCACCTTGCAAAATGCACATTATATTTCTGCTTGCTTTCTTTGCTTTTCTGTGAAATATATGACATAGCCTATTCCCATACAAATAACTGGATACATGATATTGCCTATATTGGAAACAATTATTATGGAATGATCAAGTAGATTGGGGGTCCCCAACCCCTGGTCCATGGATGGGCACCCATCCGTGGCATTTCAGCAACCACAAACAAGCAAAGCCCCACTCCCAGGATGCAGATAGCACACAAAACCTTGCTCCCTCTGGTCCGCAGAAAACCTTTTTTCCACAGAACTGGTCCCTGAAATTTTAGACTAACCAATCTATTCCTTCAAATGTATTGGTTAAGCCAGATNCAAATGTAGTGAGAAACACTGTACTAATACGACAGATAAATTCCTCTCAAAATGACTGGACTAATATAAACTATAAAACACGTAACTTGTAATCAGCCTTAAATTTAAAATTCATAGCAAATGTATATTCTTCTAATGCACAATATCATCCAAACATAACAGCATTTTAAAAAGTGTAATCAAGAGAGAAAACATGAGTGACTCTGGCCTCTTATGTCAATCTTTATGTCTTATTAAGAGGGAGATACACATATTCCTCTCTTGGAGAAAAGTCATATGTATCATTACTGAAGATATGCAGATCTTGAAATTTCAGTGCAACTCAGAATATGGAACTATTAAAAAAACAAGTCACTCATACTTCCACTCCTGATTCTTTGCTAAGAAATGCCTAAGGTTTCCATCTGTCTTGCAAGTCTACAATGGGGCAAATCTTTCTTAAAAACTGAGTTTTTTGTTTTAACCTCCAATCATTCATTGGCAAATTTATAGACTTGGAAAGTTATAAATATATATTTTTATATTTTCCTACATTTAAGCTATTATGAGTAATTTTAAATTTATTCCTTTTTTCACTTTTGGAATTGTAGGAAGCAAAATGGCTGCTTTGACTGAAATACAAATTAGTAACACTGCTCTTCAGTGATAAAATTCCTGAGAACTGGCCCAATCTTATCCTATATAGAAGTTTAAGTGTGGAGAGGGCATATTCTCAAAGAAAAAGTGCATATTCTAAAACACAGTAAACATTTGGCTCAAAGATTATCTAGTAAGAGGCAGCCTCCATCAGCATGTAGTATCCCCAAACTGTTTTGCTTTCATAGTATAGCATGGGAGAACTACCTCAACATAGTCTACTCGTGCTGATGCTCCTGATGCTGCCATTTCAGGTGTTCGAAAAGGTGCTGCCTTCACATCCTCTGCTGTTGGTGCCATTGTACTCTCCCAGGCGATGGGGCAAGGGGTACACTCTCGATCTTCACATGCTAAGATGAGAAAAATCAATTTCAATGCCCAAAAAGATGGAACTGCTTGAGCAGAAGAGGTGACTAAAACTACCAAATGGATTATGGCACTTAAAAGAGAGACAGCTGACTTACAACATTAGGAAATTATTTTTTTCCCAGTTTTTCTAAGTCATCTTACAACAAAATTAGAAATTTGGAGACTGAAATTTTCCCCTTCCTTAGACCAAAGTTAACTTGCAGAGGGCTAAGATGGAGGGAAAAGAACTTTGCTAGTAAATATTCTTAGAAAGTCTTGATTTAAAAAAAAATCCTTTTAATCCATCTAAACTTGTTTAAGTTATGAAAGTGATTTACCTAAAGAGCTAGTTATAACATCTTATTTTTCGTAGAATTCTAAGCCTAGACTTTTTTCTAAACTCAAACAAATTTCTTGTGCTTTGTGTTTGATTTGACAAAGTCAATACCACATGATTGTCATGGGATGAACATTTCTAAGTGAACTTTTACATAATGAAATATAGCCTCTAAACTGTTGAAGCCATTCACTGAAAACTAAAATATATATTTCCAATTCCAAATTAAATTGGCTAAAGGAAGATTAAGCAAATACAAAGAGTATGGAAATTGGGATTTGACTTTGAAAAATCCCTAATGTGTTAACATTTTAGGTAT